ATTGTAAAGGCTCGTGATAAAGTGTAATATCATAAAATAATGATGTAAATGACGTTGTATAAAAGAGGTAAAATTATTATATAAATGATGTGAATTGCAACATAAACGGTGTAAAGATGAAGAAATTTTGATTCAGCACAATATACCATGGTTTCGAAAAATGTTCTTCCCTTCTACTTTTTATTGATAATCTTGTCTTTTTTTATTAGAAAATAAGTGTATTACATAAGTATCACATCTATACATAATATGTCCCGAAATTATCAAAATATTTAAAAACTAATATCCAGTGCATCTTATTAACATTGAGTTGTATTTTTAGTGTTTTTCTGAGTAAAAATTATGTATAATTTCTTTTTGACATAAATTATCATGAAGGGTTGAAATATCTTAAAATCACTAGCCAAAAAAAAAAAAAACAAAAAATGAAAAATCTTGAAATGTTGAGATGAATTATAGAATTAATTAAGAAAATAGGATTAATTATTGAAGATATCAGATGTCGCACCCTATTAATGAAAAATGATAGAAGAAAGTTTGGTGATATATATAAACAATATAAAGAACAGGTGTATGTATATTTATAGAAGGCAATAGACGAAAAAGATAAACCAAAGCTAAATATGATAAAGTAATTGTGATAATTTGAATTAATAAATTTAAAAAATAACAGACACAAATTTCGATTAAAAATAATCAAAGGAGATAATTTATATGGCTGATCTTATTCAATTGAGATCAAGCAAAGGAAGGACGATAATATATGATGATGACATAAATTTTTTTATGTATGTAACAAAAATTACTGGATTTACAACGAAAAGTTATCAGGGCAGAGCCCACTTGCTTCTTGTTGGAACTAGCAAAATTTTTATTTCATATTTTCCTGCAACCATGTTGGCATAAAATAGCAATCCTTCGTCTTGACTTGGTGCATTTAATAAAATAAAAGTTATGATATAATAAAAAATTAATGCTTCTTTTGGTTGGAGGCTCAGATGAAAAAAAAAAAAAAAAATGAATGAAAGGGAAAGGGGAAAGAATGAATTAAAACCTCCTATGGAAGGAAAGAGAAGTGAATGTGTCTCCCTCACTTTTGTTTGATTGGATTTAAATGAATGTTAGGAAGAATGAATGGGTGGTTTTTTTTTTTTGGAAGGAAGTGAAAGAAGGTATTTATATTATTTTTACCAATATACTCTCATTATATAAAATTATAAAAATTTAAGGTTTAAAATGAAAATTACATATTTGTGATAATTAATTCTTCTTCTCTTTTATCTCTATCATTCTTTGCTTCTTTCCTCTTTTACCTTCCTTTTAACCAAACACGATATTTATTTTTTATACATTTTTTATTTTTTTTTAATCTCCCGTCTCATCCATCCCTCCTCATTCTTTCTTTCCAACCAAACATATCATAAAAGTGTGTATATATATTTATATATAAAGAAAAATAAATAAATGAATCACCTGTTGGTAAAATATATGCTTCATGTGACATTTAAGATATAACAAATCTTATACTAATATGTCATTAGATAATTAACAATATGCTAAGAAATCATTAATTAAATATGCAACTCTATATTTAATTAAATATACAAGATAAATTAATAAAATAATAATAATAAATAAAGAACTTGGACTGAGGCTAGTATTGGATACTATGTCCTTAAGACAGATTCGCCCCGCTATGGTGCTAACGGACTCAGTGACGTCTATCTCCCAGGATACAACGGTCTACATCCACCAGTAGTAGCACTACAAACTCGTGGATATGGCGAACTTTCTCCGTGTAATACTCTCTCTGACTCAAAAATGCATCTATACTATATAAATACTGAATTTGGTGCAATCCGAACCAAATGATTCGGACTAATCTTAATATGGTTCGATAAAATTGGATTAGGGTCTAAGTGGTTCGGACCACTTAACATATGGTTTGAATCCACTTGGGTTGGGTTCAAGTCTAGAGAGGGAGAAAGAAGAAAATGAAAATTGAACCACTTGCAAATGATCCAAAGGGGGGTATTTATAGAAACAGAAATGCCTTTTCAGATTGGGTGTATCTCTTCATTATTGGACACAACCATTGCAATAGGTTACAATGCTTCACATGGTGTCTATTCACCACTAGACACATCTATTCCAATAAGTTGCAATGGTTTACATGGTGTCTGTTCACCAATAGACACATCCATTCCAATAGGTTGCAATGTGCCTTTTCGAGTGGGTGCAACCATGGGTTATGATGGTTCGAAAAAAGGTGTAACCCTGTGAAAAAACTAAAAAGTGGTTTTTTAATTTAAAAGGTGTAACCCTTTAGAAAAACTAAAATATGGTTTTTTAATTTAAAAGGTGTAACCTTTTAGAAAAACTAAAAAGTAGTTTTTTTTTTTAATTCAAAAAACCAACCACCCAAAAAACCCACTCATTTGTGAAACCCATTTAAATAAGCCCAGCCCAAAATTAGGCCTAATCCAAAATTCCAAAAAAGAATAATCTGAACTTTACAATTAAGTCCAAGCCCAAGCCTAAATCCTAAACTCAGCTTATTTAAATTTCAATTTATTTCAACATTTTTTCTATATGGGACAAACACTTCTCACATTTTGTATACCCATTTAGGCTTATCAAAACACCACACTTTGGAGCTAATTTCTCATTCATCTGGAAACGGAAAGTAAATATACCACGTTCATCTCCTTGCGGAGAGAAACGCGCTTGTCTAGATATCCGTAAAAAATTATTAGCGGAATCTATTTCAAATCTTATCCAAAGTTTATGTTTTTAATGCCCCCGTTTCCAACATCACCAACGTTGCAACATTTTGAAAGGTAGATGTCGGGTTTGTGTCTCAACTTTTTGAAGATTACAAAATGGTTATCAATCCAACTTGGTTTTGTCCGATGTTGAGTTGCACCAGACTTAAGTTAGATCGGTCATACTTGCCTGATGAGTTATGAGATTTATTTTCTTAATTAGAGGTAGGCACGAATATATTGTGGGTTCAGTGGGGCATTCGCCCCCACTAATTAGAAGATATTGTTTCTTATGAGCTGAAGACTTAGTGGAGCAAGGAAAGTTATACATCATTAGGCATCTATTTTAAAATTTTGAACGGTGCGGTAACTTCTTGTTAGGGAAAGTATGAGAATCCTCGTTTAAGGAGGAATGTGCTGAAGACTTGGTAAATAATTGTGAAGGAAGAGGGTAAAGAGATTGGCTACTGTAAATATTGTGCTGTGCTTGATTGATATATGAATGTATCTCCATATGATTGTGTGATTGATGATAACATGCTTCTCTAGTTATTGGATGGATGGGAATTTAATTCTCAACAAGTGATATCAAAACTAGTTGGAGGGGATTTTCATTCATAGTACTGATCTTTAATAGTATAACACATTGTATCGGATGGATTCCAATACTTGCAGTGCGTACGTATATGCGTGAATGGAAATTAGACGAACCTAATTCGTGCACGTGTGATTAAATATATGTGTGTGTGAATTGGGATCCGTGTAGCACAAGGATCCCAACACCTCAGCACTTAACGTAAAGAAAGCACCTGTTTGGAACCATCAGACATTCAAAGAAGAAAATGTGCAAGCTTAAAAGACATAAATTGAGTCTGTTGGGAGTTTGTGAACATTATTAGGCAATGATTCTAGTGAGTCTTGAAACATCATAAACTAACTTTTCATTTATATACAAATCCAAAGATCCGTGAAATATTATGACTGATTCGAATTCCTTTTGTTTATTTGAACGTACTATTATTAGATTTAGGGCAAAATAAAAGAGTGGATATCTTTATTATTATTTTATTTGAATTCTAATTCATCAAAGCTTTAAAAATTCATATATTACAAATTGTACATTCAAAAATTGTAAATAATATATGTACAAGAGAGATTATAAAATAAGGATTTTACAAATATAAGATTTGTGCAACAAACGTACCAGAAAGAAATAGGTAAATCTAAGAATCTCCTACAACAATCTTATTTTATTTCTAAAAAATAAAATACTTTGGATATTTGCAATAAAATTTTCAAACACATGGAGTATAACATATAAAATATTTAGCCCCAATAGAGACCGATTTGATGAGATATCATATCGTGCGGCAGAGTATTTTCATTTTTTATAGACTCACTATTAAAAAAAAAAAAAAAAATCAAAATGAATACTCGGTATCGGACGAATTATAATTCAAATAAAACAACAATAAGGTTATTTTGATCCAAATATTTACTCTTTTAACCCTCTTGGATAGTTGGGGGAAGAGGAGGTTTAGTATACTTTGTCCTTAGATTTATTAACATTACCAGTATCTTTATCTTAGGTCATTTTTTTTTTTTTTTTTTTCGTAGGTGGTAATTAAGAGTAATAATTCAATAGTATCTTCTTAGTAATTGAAGTCCCTTTAAACACACAAATCAAATGAAAAATCAGATATAAGTTTATAATCAAAGGAAAAATTAGATATAAGTTTCATGCTTGGAACATGAAATATTGTTATAGTACCTAAAGTACTCATAAATAATCTCATACATGAATACTTGTAAAGCCCCGGTGATGAGTAGGATGCAACTATGTGCAAAAGTGCAAGTGGTCGAAGCACAAGATACCCTTCTGTGCTCGTATAATGTAAATGAGATGAACGGTCCATATTTATCCCCGGATCATGCCAAATGATTAACATCTTCTCACACATGAACCTAAAAGCTTACTTTAAATGTCCCTCACCAAAATAATTCACACCCTATTTACATTCATAAACATAAAGAAAAATTCAAAGGTTACAATCAACTTTTCAATTCAATTTGAGTTTGTCATTGCCCTATCTTCTCAAATCAACTCGTTACCAAATGAAATTTTCAATAACCAATTTGAATTAATAAGATGAAACATAACACACACATACGCGTGTGTGTGTGCACACACACACACATATATATATAGAAATCCATTGTACATAAAGAGGATCATGAACCGAAATAAGAGTGCGCAATTTGTTTATGTAGCACATGTATGCTGCGCTAGGCGTTCATTACATTTCATACTTTCACCTAATCCATAGAACAAAAAAAAGAAAAAAGAAAAAAAAGAACATGTATTGAATACCTCGTCCGTCACCGTTAAAGTAACGGAGTTGTTTACAATTTATATATAATTAACAAATGATAAAAACTAGAAATTTAATTTAAAACAAAAAAAAACAAAAATCCAATCCGATATTTCATTCCCGCCGATTCAAAATCTGCCGAGGAATCAGCAACCAAGGCGAGAAGAGAATCATCGTCTTTCTTAACGATAATACGATGTTGTTTCGATTCTCAAAGAGCGACGAGAGGCTCTGTTCCAAATATATCGCCGAAGTCTTGGAAGTAATCGTCGACCATACACGCCGATGAATCAGCCCCGAAACCATCAACCGACCCGATAAACATATCGTAGGCCGTTTCTTCACTGAAAATGCTCTTCCCTAAACCCGTTTCGTCAAACAAATCCAGTATCGGTTTCTGAAAATCAAAGAAGTCGTCGGGATATAGCTTATCGAAGGCTGAGAAATCCGAGAAGTTCTCACACACTGAGATGTCGTCGCGAGTATCTGCGATGGAATGGGTGATGGCGTCATTTGGTTGACTCTGAGTCGACTCAGCTTCTTCTTCGTTGGAAGAAGAAGAAAAGCGAAGCACAGACTTCGGAGAGCAGAGGTTGTTGTGAGACTCGTCGCCGGAGTTGTTGCCGGAGCACGTCGGCGCCAGGTTGATTTCCGGCACCGTCGGGACGGTTTTAGCCGGAGGTGTGGCGAAGTTGGTGAGCGCGTCGGGTCCACGCAGCTGAATCGCCGCGTTGTCGTACACCATAGCCGCCTCTTCGGCCGTGTCGTATGTGCCTAACCACAGCCGTACACGTCGCAGCGGATCTCTGATCTCCGCCGCCCATTTCCCCCAAGGTCGTTGCCGTACGCCTCGAAACTTCTGGCCGGAGTCCACCTTCAGCCGTTTCGCCGAAGACTGTGCTTTTCCGGCAGTCTTCTTCCGGCTACTCTTCCAAACGCCGTTAACATTTCCGTTTCCGTTATCTCTGGAACACGACGACTCGATTCTGACTTCGTTGACAAACTTCTTGACTCTCTGACGGCGAAAGAGTCCGTCGTCTTCGTCACTCGACGAGTCCGTGGCGTCACCGTCGGTTACCGATATCCTCACTACCTTGGGTCCTCCGCCGGAACTCATTTCCGGCAGTTTCTTCCGGCCGACGGTGACTCCGGCTGTCGACGGCCTGAGCATCGTAGTTTGCTTCCGGTGTTCACTGTACTTCACTGGAGCCAACATACTTCGTTCCATATCTCTACACACTTCTCAAATTCGCATTGAAATCAAAAGGCAGAGAGTAGAGTGAGCCTGAAATGGGGTCGTGAAAAAAAGAAGAGATTCCTTTGAGAGTGAGGAGAATAAAGAGAGAGAGTATGTGTTTTGGGAGAGAGAGAGAGCGCTAAAGGGAAGCTTGAAAACGGAGTGTGAATAAAAAGACAAGAAGTTTCAAGGAAAGTTACAGAAAAAGAAGAGGGAAAAGGAAAGAGAGAGCTAAAAGCGAAGATAAGGTGTGCGACTGATTATACATATGGAAAGACAGTATAAATTGTAGGTAGGGGGAGAAAGGGAAAGTGAAATTTTCCCAGGAAAATAAGTGAGTAGACCCACCTTTTCACCGGAAAAGGAAAGAGAATAAGTCCGTAATCACCGCTCTTCGAAGCTTCGTTAGTCGCTTCAGTACCCAAAAGTATTTTTAGGGAGTTCAACTTCAAATCCTAGCTCTTTCCGGTGGTTTTTTTCTCGAGAAAATCTCCGAGAAAGGGAAAGAAAACGATTGAGAGACGAGGAGTGTAGAGAGAAGGAAAAAACAGTGAGAGATAGTAGTCCAGTTACGGTGGAGACCAAAACTGCTACTGAAATTGCTGTTTTATAGGATCGCATAGACCAAGTCGGTAAATTATAGTAATATTTACTCCTTCTTTATTAATTTTAAAATTTCAAAAGTGAATGCGACTTCAAAAAAATGATTAATCAAGGGACGCTAATCAGGCCGGGTCGAACCGGATAACACACGGGTTGAGGTTGAGATTCGAAGGAGGTTTGGAGATATTTTTGACGAGGCGCCGCATCGGATGGAGACGTTTGATTTCGACACGTGGCAATGTGGACCCGGCAAACGGGGTAAAATTTTAGGAACGGGATTTGTTGCTGACCTAGCAAAAGATTTTGCTCTCTCGGAATCTGGGATTCAGGTCACGTGACTATCGGAGGACCGGTTGGGGTTAATTAAAGTCAGTCAAATAAGTGGTTAGTCAGTCTACTTTTACTTAAATATACATGTAACTTCTGATTTTATTACATTTAAATTAAATTACCGTTTAAACTTTCTTAATTACAACTACTTTTAAATCTTGCGTGTTTTACCATGGTGGCCGTTTTGCTTTGTTATTATTTTTTACTTTTACTTTTACTTGTTACCAGTAATTTCTTACTGTTGAACTCTTTAGTTGTTAAATAGGAATTTGACACTATATATAGTATAGTCCATATTATTTGTCTGGTATCTCTTGGATTCCATTCATTTCTATAAATAGTGTAAAATACAAAGTTAGCGGACATCCAAAATATTCATTCACATAAATTTCACTTTAATAGTCAGTCTAATACAAGTTAATCAAAAATAGGATAAGCCTCACTCATTATTTTGCTATGATTGATTATAAATAATCATAAATTAAAAATGGGTTTCTAGCTCGAGCTACAACCTCCTAAACCCTATAAAAAAAGTTAGAACGCGAACAAAAATACAGATTAGGAAAATAAAATAAGAGGTGATTGTTTTAAATACAGATTAGGAAAATAAAATAAGTCGTTCTTGTTTTAATTATTTGAAAAATAATGCTCTCTTAAAAAATATATATAAATCATATAATATATATTTTAATTAGGTGATTAAATATGAATTACTCATAACTTTTGTAATAAAAGGGTTTTTTTCTTCTGATAACATAAAACAATTGTAAAGAGACATGAAGACAGAGAAACAAGGAACAATGTTATTCAATGGACAAATAGAAATTGGCTTGTATTAACTGAGTTATTGATAGTTCTTCATAATTTCTCCAGCGGCCAACCCCTTAATAACATAATTGATAGTAGGTATTCACCATTAATTACTACTGCCATCTTCATTCAAAATGTAAAAACATTTAGGTGTTTACAATCAATAATCATTATAATGAGCTAATGATGCCTCTGTCAGACAACTGTTGGACTCATCTTTCTACCACATTAAATTCATATTCTAAATATTTCATCAAAAAAATAAAAAAATAAAAAAAAATAAAAAATTAATAGAAAAAGTTCTAAATTGACGAACTCGGTATTTAAATAAATAATGTTACATTTGAAAATATCAAATCAGCGCGTCAATTCAATGTTTCTGAACATTACAGGAAAGTAATGAAAAAACTTGTAAGAGGTGTTTTTGTTAAAACATGTTATTGACTCAAAATTATGTTTTCCTTGATAAAAATTGTCAGAAATAACGAAATTGTTTGGTTAACTTTTTTTGGGCAACGGTTTTTTTATTTTATTATCAGATAATTGAAAAACGGAAAATAATTTAATTCTTTTTAATTTTGGGTAAGTAATTCACAATTTTGTTTGGTTGCAAAATTTTAGGAAACCGTTTTTGTAATTCTTTGATAAATGTTTTCTATATTTATAGTTATTGAGCAAATAGAAACAAAAGAAAGCTCAAATTTTAATGATATTATTGTGTTCTTAAATAATGTCAAAATGAAAACGTTGTTTTCTATAAGTTTCTTAACTCAAGATGAAGTCGAAAACATTTCGAGGACAAATATGTTTCAAAATAGAGGAACCAGAGGTAACCCAAGTTAACAAACATAAAAGTACAAAGGGACAATACAGTAAATTCAACTCATTGGTGTGAGATTTTGTAGCGGCAACATGGGCCGGCCCAAGGTTATTGGAGCGATTTGATGTCAGTAGATCCAAACGTTCCTCAACGACACATCAAACAAACAAGCCGACTCTACTTGTTTCTTTCACTAATTGCCCTTCTTCTTCTCTCTCTCTTTTTTAATCAGATCCAACGGCCATCTACTTTCAGCTTTCCCATTTCACCCCTACACACACACACACACACAAACACATTACAATCAATTAACAAACAATCCAATACTAATTCAATGTCAAAACTTGAAGACATTGGTTTCATTTGAGCTGCCATGTTCATCTACTGAGTGGCGGACTCAGAAAATTGTATGAATGTGGGTGGACATGAATAACAAGAATATATAATAGAGTCTTATGAAAAATTGAGTAGGGATATTTTTAATAAAAATTATATAGAATTTTATGAATAACATTTTTTTAGTGTGGCCACCCCCACTGAGCCATTAATAGGTCCAGGCTGCACCTAAATTCCCTTTGAATTGTTTATAGTAAGTAACTAATGAAGATTATACCATGTAATTTTTTTGTAAATCTGAATCCCTAGCTTGCATGGGCCGCTCGGTTTTGAAGATACTCTTCTTAGGTTGCTGGTTCGAGTCTCGTCGAGGGTGAGGCGACAACCTTATTTGCTTACAATAATTATGCACGGTTTCCCTACTATGAAGACACATACTATTTTGTTGATTGTGGTTGGCGACTACTGAAATTAAGGTGTGCATCCTTAGGAACTAAAGGTTTTGGTTCAATTTTTTAAAAATAGTTTTCATGACTTGAGAAACAAAAATATTTTGAAGACAAATCTTTTTTTAATTGAATTTTCAAAAATTGTCAATCAAATTTTAAATTTTTATGCTGATTTTTAGTTTTCAGAAAGTAGAATACTAAACTAAACAGACTCAAAATACACACGTCGTCTCCAAACGATTTGGAAGGAGGAGGTTGGCAGTAGAAATGACTCCCCTTCTTCCTATTTTAGCATCTTCCTAATGTTCGATTTAACCGATGCATGAGATGCTCAGATGTCATTGAATGATTGGTTGTTGTGCTTTCTTTGTCATTAGTAGGCAATAAATATGGAACTAATCTTCCTATCATTAGCCGATTTGTTCTCTAATCAATTTTGGATTATCTCTCACCAATTAGTACTTTTGACATATACCCATGTTCTTTTTTTGTTTATGGTATGATACAAAGCTCCATCTTTTTTTGTGGCCATAAACATAATTATGCAAGTGATATGGCACATAAAGAATGTATACGCACAAAATCTCATTTTATAATTCGGTTATAAACATTTGACTCTAATATTGTAACCTAGGATATAGACGTCGAATTAATGTCATTTATATACACGCACATACATACATATATATATGCCACTTGGGGTCAGGAAAAGACAGCAGTGAATTTTGTCTCTAACACACACACAAACAAGGGTGTCTCAATCTTATTAGCCGTATTACTAGTTGCAATTACATTATTTAATTAGTGTACCATATGCTTAGGAATAATACTTTGTTTGGAAGGAGATATAGTTGTCTTGATTCTAAAGGTATAAAACAATTTGACACCAAACTTCTTGATTGATGATATTCAAAATTAATTCTCAATGTCTTTTAAATATTTAGGGTTCGTTTTGTTTGTCGCTGGAAAAATTGTTCTCAACAATTCAAAAAATAAAAAACTATTTTCATATTACTATAAAATATAGTTCAATAAAAACGTCTTGTTTTTTAACCGAAAATTCTGAAGACAGTTTTATCAATTTTTTGTATAGTTTTTCGATTTTCAATTATCAGAAAAAGCATAAAACTGTTCTCAGAAATAAAAGTGAACAAAACAAGCCCTTAATGTGTGTGTGTATATATTTGTATGTGTATGTGTGTGTCCCTTGGTGTATAAATACAGATACCAAGAATATATTGAGATTAGGGAAATAGTAAAGAAAGATGCTTAGGAACATATTTGAATCATAATCTTTCGAAAACAAAAAACATATTTGAATCATAGAGAGTTGTGTTTATAAGATCCAAAGGCTTAGTTGAAGAAGAGTGTGTGGGATTAGGAAAGACAAAAAAAGAAAAGCTGTAGATTTCTTGGACTCTGGCCAATAACAATGTGCATGAAACCAAATATAAAAAGACAAAGTAAACAAGTACATTAGATTCGACAAAAGTTTGGGAGGTTTTGATTTCTACCATATCATAAACTATATATATTGTTGTTTGTTTGGTTTCTCAAAATACGAAATTTTGGTTTGTTTTTTAATTTCCAACTTGTTTGCATATAATATGGTTAGCTTAATTTCGTCACATATAATTAAGTCAACGAGCATCACCTCCAAGGTGGCTAGCTGCCCACTTCGAGCCACAAAATAGAGTAAATTAAATACTTTCATTTTATTTTAATTACTTAAATGTTTATGTGTGTGTGTAGTAATGATATAGTCTTATGGTTTTCAACATGTCAATAAGCACCAATATCTAGATGACCTTGATTTGAGTAGTAATTGTGTAATTATGACCCCATTATACGAGAAAGAAAAGAGTGAGATTGTGAATGCATTCTTCTTGGAGGGGCTTATTTGGGAAAACAATATCACTACAAAGTCAATAAGTATTTCTTAAAATATTAATCCATGAATAAGCAAAGGTCAATTCTTAAAAGAAGTAAGTCCTTTTTTTTTTTTTTTTTTTTTTTTTTTTTAAGAATTAAAAGAAAAAAAAAAGGTAAGTCCACTAACCTACACGAAAGCAAATAAATCAATGCATACATATATTCATGCTCATCTCATGCAAATATTATCTCCTCAAATATATATATTTTTGAAAATCATTTTCCTTTCTAACTTCCATTAATTGTTAAATGCGAGTACGATAAAATACAGAAAGGTGTATGCCCGAAATAATATGATTTTTTTTTTTTTCCTTT